AATTATTATATTTTATTTTATTTGACTTGGTTTGATTTGACTTCATTGTTTTGTTTTTCTTTATTTTATTTTAAATTATTTAATTTAATTTAATTCAATTTAATTTAATTTTATGGTTTTTTTTTTGTTTTATTTGATTTGATTTTATTTTATTATTTTGATCTTTCTTTATTTAGTCTTATTTTCTTTTAACTAATTTCTTTTTAACTCCCATTTCAGCTCATTTGGTTTAACTATCACATTTCAGTTCCATCTCAGCTCGTTTCATTTCATTTCGCTTTCTTTTACTTTCCCACTCACCAATCTTGTGCGCGCTGTAGATATTCTCGATGGAGAATATACCGCCGAGCCCGAAGAGCAGCACTTTAGCCAATGCGGGCGCCAACTGCGTCTGCGTCACGAGCACATTCACACAATTCTCGCGCTGCGCGATCATATTCAGACACTTCGTAGCCAGTGAAGCCCAGTTGTCGGTAGCCATTTCAATGTCCGAGCGTATTTGCAGCCAGGCGTCACGCTTTTCAGGACCCAGCAAGCCACCAACGCTGAAAAAATAACAAAAGCAAATGAATTTTTTTCGATCTTTCACAAATACATACAAGACAGTTTACTCACTTCCCTCTGTAGGTATTGTAGATCTCTTTGATTTTGCGATATCTGAACGCCAGCTTGCGCATCCAGTCGACACCGCCACGTACGCCAGTTGGCAGGCAAAGATTTGGCGGCGCGCCGGGTGGCGCACCCGAATGGAAACCGTCCGTCGCAAAGTTGTAATTGCTCAAATCCTGACCATTATCATCGGAGGACACATCATCGATGTGCACCTGATCGCATTCCTCAATTTCGTTGAAGAAAAAATGCGTATCGGCCATGTTGAAGACCATCTCTTCCATGCGGAATGCGATCGTCAGCAGCGTGCTTTGGTCTTTGGTGTAGCGATTGGCGAAGGAACCGGAGAGTAGCGTATGGAAAATGATGATCGTCTCATCCAGATCCCAGATAAAGACGCGTTCAGGCGGCTTAGCCGCATCACTGTTTGGTGTGTCCGAAGTGGTGCTGCGCGTTGGACTCGGCTGCTGATGACGTCGTCCGCGTGAGCGCCCACTTTTGCTGGTAGGCGTACTTTTGGTGTGTGCCGTTGCCGCCGCCGTGTTGGAATTAGAGTTCAGCGCCGCGGCATTGGCATTCGGTGAGATCGGCAGCGGCGAGTGTGGTGAGTGTGTGGCGTGCAGCACAGGCGTGGTCGAGTGCGTATCGGTGGGACTTTCCACACTCGCCGCTGCCAATCTCACCGAATGCCAATGCCGCGGCGCT